TTTGTATTATTTTAACGGCAGGTATAAAATAAAAAAAAAACTACAACAAAGGTGTTTATTACTATCATTATCATCATTATATATAATCATTGACTTCGTCGTCGTGACAAATCGCTACCGAAACTTTGACCTTTAATGACGGCCCGACAGCGATAATAAAATGTTCTGTATAATATAATATAGTAAATGGAATTTATTTAATGTTTCATTTTTTAATGCGTATAAAACCATCTATAGTGGTCTTTACAAAAAAAAAAAAAAATTAGAAAACTGCAGAAAATTCGAGTAGGTAATCGAGTATAAAAATTAAAAAGTTTTAATGGAAATCAACCGAAAAGTTTAAACTTCATAATGGTACGACGAGGAGTTAATAATAATTCGTAGTTAGTATAAAAAAAAATCAAATAACTATCATAATAAAAGTATATTTATAAAACGTTCACTATAAATTTATGTCGATTAAGGTGAAATAAAGTGTATACATGCGTCGTCATTCGGTAAAACTTTCAGCGATCCGATCAGCGACATTAGTATAAGTAATACCATTGGATATATGCATTGTTCATTAGTTTCGACATTAATTAGAAGGTTAATTAATGTCTAAATTAGCGCATTAGTTAATAAGTTAGGCTAATAGCAACATTATAGATTAAAAATTAATTCAATAGTAATAGGTATTGTTCACTGAAAATAGCGTGCTTTTAATTAAAGTTGTTAAAATCATATTTTTATTTCATTTTAATTGCAATGCAAGCCGAAGTTTGAAAATATTACAAGAGTAGTGGTATACAACAATATTCAAACCAAAACCACCGAGTGCACAGGGGCGCCGTGTACAAGGGGGGCTCCTCATAAGCTTGATAAGACGAAGCTCAGCCCTTCACTGTTCTCATATGATATATAAAAAAAAAAAACATTTGTCATGTTCATCCTCAAAATACTAATTTTATTTATAACAAATAAATCGAGAAGGATCAAAAAAGGCCAATTTCACTTTTAATCAATTTTTCGAAATCGAAAATAAAACACATTTTTGGCCCTTTTTGATATTGTAATAGTAATATTTTTTTATAACAACATTGGTCTTCTCAAATCTCACAATAATGATTTTTGAAATACGCCGTCTTACCAATTACCACTATAGGAAAAGTGTATAAAATTGTACATGAATGGCCGTATAACTCATTTTCACTAAAAAGTGACATTGGCCCAAATCCCAAAATTATTTGTAAAAATTTGTTTACGTGTATCGGTCGAAATAACTCACGTTATTCTAGTACCGCGACTGCGGTCGATTGCGATCAATTAATTACGTTGCCATATTTTTCCGCGGGCCCCGGGGAAATCATCGTGTTTAGCTAAGCTAAGCTTTGATATCCCATCTAAAATTTGGCGGCTCAAAATGTGCGATTACGGGAAATGTGACCATAGTATTATTATTCTTGTTGTTATTATTATTATTATTATTATTATTACATCATTGAACGCGCCGCAGACAGATTGGTCCGTCGCCGGTTTTTACATCGCGGACGGCAGTACCCGTATATTATATTTTAATATTACGCGGCCGCGTGGGGTGGAGGGAGGGAGTTCGACACGTCGAGATAAAACGCGCACAACGGCGGCCCGAATCAGGGAGTCTGTTAACGTGTACAATAATAATACAACAATATAATCCGTGTATAGGACGGCGCGAGTGTAGGTTTGATACGGCGGCGCATTTTTCCGAGACGTTTCGGAAAAACATTAAGGTGTGACGGGCTGATTATGGACGAGGTGTAGACTGTATAATGCTCCTGCACCTACCTCACCTGTACACGCGTATAGGCGCTTTATATATACACATATATATATAATAATAATACGGCTGGCCCCCGCGTGTGTATATAATATGAAAGATTCAGTCGGCTGTCAAGTCGGCCGGCGATAGAAATAATTTGTTTCGCTCGTCTCGAGACTACATCGCCTTATACTTCTCTCTCGTTCTGTCTTTCTTTCTCTCTCTCTCTCTCTCTCTCTCTCTCTATATATATATATATACGAGCGCGTTTATTCGGGAAAACGGGTCCGGGTATAAATTATAACTGACAGGCGGACGATTATTCCGCGGGAGGGAAAACATCCAGGTGAAAAGGGCAGGCCAGCTGGAAAACCGGCGGAAATAAAAATACAGGGCGGGAAATGCGCTGGTCTTGTGTGGGTACTCTTATACACGTCGCTCGTACACGTCTTATACCCACGTGCGTGTGATACAGACACACGCCGTATTATAACACGCGATATCGTAAAACCAGACGGATACATGCTGACGGGCGCAGGTATATCGAGTATATTATACGTCTATAACTATCTATATACGAGGCGCGGGATTATTTACAACCGAGATTTTCTTCCGGAAAAGAGCAAGCAATCAACTCTTTGGCGGGCAACGGTGACGTAGTTGTCAAATATACACGAGCCGTCGGATTATACCGTTTTTACATTTTTTTGGCCAACTAGTTCGCGTCCACGAGTGGATACTATATCGTACGACACTGCCCCGGAATTATCGTACTCGAAATTAGGAATACGCTTGTTTAAGATATTTATATTATTATTAAGATTGAATAATAATCAATGTAAAATTGTGTTCATAATATTGTTGTGTCTATGATGGGCACGTGGAAGGGATATTGTGTTTTCAGACAATGATTATAATCATAGGCCTTATACTAATAAACTAGCCTTTTATACACTTTTTGGTTGTCCCAGTTCGCTTCTGTAAGTACTCGAGTTGTTGAATGCTATAAACGGTTTAATGATGGATAAGAGTAGGTGGAAGATGACAAGCATCCTGATCATCTTTGTGTTTCGAAGGCGGACAAATTAATGGCCAAAAAAAAAAAAAAAACCTGAAGAAACATTTGCTTTGAAATTTTACAAAATATGATTATGAGCAATCAGATTTATTGGAAAACATCATCAATTTGTGTAGGAGATTTTTTTAAATTTAACGTGAAATTTAAAATTTGAATAGGTATAATTCCGGCTGTCTCGTACGATAGTATACACTTAAGTCTTTAAAAAACGTGTGAACGCGAAATAGTATTGACTAAAATAGATAAAATTAGATAATTATTCGATGCATTAGCATGTACAGTTGATTACTACGCCATATTATTATTCTATATTATTATTATATCTTTTTTTGCAGAATTTGATGCACTATTCGCAATGCACTGCACTGATACATTGTTTCAAACCAGCCTGTTGCAGGTTTACATGGAGTCAAGTGCCGGGGTGACATTCACGGGACAATTATTGCACTGGCTGCGCACCGGTCACCGGACGTTACAGGGTATGTTCTTAATTTTAAGTCATGCGAAATATCGATTAAAAACTGACAACATGAATATAGAGAAGTAATTCCATGTATTATATTATGATATAGGTTATACAAATATTCGTCAAATTTTCACCCTCTTTTCCTGGCGTAGGACCGAATTCGCTACCGGTGTAATTTAACGGATTGCGGCAACGTAAACATTATTAATATAGGGGTCCGAGGCGGGAAAATCGGGCTCGATTAAACGCACGAGTGGAATATTATTCAAATTCGTATGTATACATACTCAAAACGGATCGATCTCTTATTGCGTTTGAATTGTTTACAGTGGCTGACGATATTTTCGTAAACATTTTTGGGTGCCTTAAGTGGTACTGGAAAATCACACGTCTGATCGTTTATACCTGTATACGTTTACTCAACAAACACTCAAACCGCACGTGCCCGTGTATACGCACTTGTATAATATCACCGACCTGCCGAAAGTCCTTTTTAAACGAGATCGCTATACCCGCGCATATTGTCAAAAACGTTGTTGTACACGCAATCGGTTAAAAAAGTAAAAGATATTATGTAGTGAGAACTTAAAGGGAAACTTTTTTCCTCCGTTCGTACACCTACTCCACGTTTCGTACTATTATTGGTTTCATATACAGGGTATCCCACGGAGATCTGACAAATAACATTTTTTTCTCTCTAATATTTTTACGTTTATGATATAGTTTTAAACTTTTATTGTTACTATCACTTCATATCAATTGACTCGTTAATATTTTGTCTATGCAAAATAATTTTTACGTATGACTTTCGTAAACTCCATACAATTGTAGACAATTAACGATTCATCATCAGTAAACGTTTGTGGCATGAAAATTTTGTTTCAAAAAAAAATTATAAAACTACTAGGTAAGTATATATTGGATTTGGTAAAAAAAAAAAAATGTTTTGATTTTAGTTTGAACAAAATAAAAGTTATTGTATTTGTCTGATCTCCGTGTGATACTCTGTGTAGCACCAAATATTTTCATTTGCACTCATCGTTCTTTCGAACATTATAAAATAATAATATGTATATTATAGCTTTTCATCGTCGTCTCTTATAGGTATAACAGTGTCGTCGATCACGTTGTTTCGTATTAAAGGGAAGAGGTTGGCGGTTTCTTCTTCTTCTTCTGGCTTTTACGACTCTCTAAGAGTCTTAGCCGCCAATACAACATCGCGCCACCTATCTCTGTCAAGCACCATTTCCCTCCATGCGACTATTCCCATTTTNGTGTGGTTTCCATTCTAATACTAGTTTAGTAGTATCGCATTCCCCCCTTCTCATGATGTGTCCAAGCCACTGTATTCTTTGCCCTTTGATGAAACTGGTTACTGGTGGAATGTTAACCATGTCGAGCAGTTCCCTGTTGTACCTTCTTCACTAATTACCTATTAATTCATCATAGATGGGGCCGCAAATTCTTCTCCAAATTTTGTTCTCGAAAGTCTTCAGTCTTCTTTCAGTTTGCTTAATTGTTGTCCACGCTTCACAACCGTATGTGAGGGTTGGTCTAACTATCACCGTGTACAACCTAACTTTGGTTTTTATAGAGAGGCATTTGGACCTAAAGAATTTTGTCAACGCGAAAAATGTTTTTTCTGCTTTAGTTTTACGAATACCTATTTCTTTGGCTCAATCATTTTTCGTACTCAGGGTCGCACCCAGATACTTAAAGTCTTCAACTTTTTCATACATAAAATCTTCCGTATCTCTGGGGTTTTCACCACTTCCTAGAAGCTCTATTATTTTGGTTTTATCATCACTGATGTGTAATCCTATTTTCTTTGCCTCATTACTCAAGATTCTGGTTGCGTTCGCTACGTCCGTTAAGGATTCGCCCAGAATATCCAAATCATCCGCAAAACCTAGAACCCGTATTCTATTTTCGTTTACCTGGATACCACCTTCATTAGTTTGAAGTTCTCTAACCACTTTCTCCAAAGCTAGGTTAAACAATAGGGGAGATAACGAATCGCCTTGCTTCAGGCCCGTATCCACCGTAAATGGTGACGAAAGTTCGTTGTCTACTCTCACCCGGTATTTTACCTCCTCCATACACATTTTAGTTAACTTTATTAATTTTTCCGGAAAACCAAAGTCGTTCATTATATTGTATAGGCTATCTCTGTGTACACTGTCGTATGCCTTTTTGAAGTCAACGAATACCTGCCACATATTTTGACGGTATTCATACTTCTTTTCAATTATCTGTCCAATGATAGCTAGTTGTTCGATTGTTGACTTGCCTTTCCGGAACCCGCATTGGTACTCTCCCAAGCATTCCTCGGAGTAGGTTGGCGGTTTACATTTCCGTTTTAGAATCTCTTGATATACCTACAGTAAGTAATAGCCACAATAATATAACACGCGTAATGGGTAAATTAAAAGCTCTTGGGAGACGAACGCAATAAGAGTCGACGAAAAGTCGACCACTTTGGCGAGTTAAAATGACTTATCTTTTAACCGAAAGTTTTTTTTTAATAGGATTAAAGTTACGAGTCAATTAAAAAACAAATCCGCTTTATAAAGTTGAAAGTTAATATTATCTAAGTTTTCGAAATAACTCGGTTATTAAAAAAGTTATTAATTTTGTTTTTTTATATTTACACCGGTTCCTATTTCGAAGCTTATCGACCTTTATTCTGTACACCTTATCCGTAAGCCGCCGCATTCGTAGCAATATAAAATTATATAGGAAAGCAAGATGATTATTTTTTATACGTAGGTAACATATTAAATAAAAAAACTGTGTAGGTATCGTCATTCTATAACAAGCTTTTGTAACACGTTTTTCTTTATTATATAATGAATGTTCGAATGACGAAGCTCTGCGGATCACCCATGAGCAAAATCCGTCACTTAAGTTGAATTTTCCTCCACTTATTTCGCACAATAGAAATATTCTATGAAAAACAACAAATAACCGAATACTATAATAATATAATATTACAGTAGGTACTAATATACTACTTTACTATGGTTCTTATATTGGTAGTAAACAAATTTGAAGATAAAAATGATAGGGTTGAGGATTGAAAGCTGAAACCTATAAAAGCAGGGCTTAAATAAAAAATAAAAATATGGTTTATCGTTATAAGAAATTCGAACGTTATGAACAATTTAGTGTTAAACGCTATAGGAAATTTAAATGTTATTCAATTTATGCGTTTAAATTTATACAAATTTAAACTTTATACAATTTTTCCGTTTAACGTTTAAACGTTTGTTAAACGTTATTCGACTTTAGCGGTTTGAATATTTTTTTAAATTTAGCATCAAATATTATGCAAAATTTAATATGTAGATTTGAATGGTTATTACATACTTGCATCAAAACATTGAATTTAATTTTTAAACATATTTTATATTTTTTTAGATGAAACTAATTAATGTTTATGGTAATAAGATATTGTATTTAAACTTAAAATATGTACACTATATTGAGTATTATTCAATAACACAATTTTTGGACAACTAGAATTGAGTCACGCATCACGACCACAGGCTGAAATTCAGATTTATTTACAAAAAATAAAATATAAATGACCCTTGTAGACGGTACACGGAAATATTATTTTTAAATCTTCAAATAAAATTAATTAAAATACCCACTTAAATTGTTTCTCGTTAACTGATGTGTTATCCGTTACTAATTTCAATCGTTCAACGTTATAATAAGTCCTGCATAAAGAGCAAATTTTTGATATTAACACTATGCATGTATACAATTTTAGCCCCTTGGCTTTATTTGAAGAGTCTAATGGTGAACAAAGCTAAAAAAAAACTGTTTTATTGAATATTATCATCAGGTGTTTTATAAAAAACTGAGTTTTTTCCAACCCAATTATCGTATACGAATTTCGCAGGAAATTTTGCAGTATGGTTTATTTTAATTTTTTTTATGAATATTTTACTAAAAAATTAGGACAGCCCAGAGTTTTGACATAAAAAAAAAAAATTCAATAAATCTATTCTAAGGTTCACATATGAAATACAATTTTGTAGATAGAGACATTTGTTTTTGGTAGTTACACCCTATATAACAGACATATAACAGTCTTAAACATAACTACCTAATATTTTTACAAAAATACACACATAAGCGGGTAAGTACACGGTTTTATGAAATAAACAATTCTAAATAGTGTCATTTTGTTGGCCACTCTGTTAGTTATTTGTTTTTAACGCGATAATATAATAATCGTCTCGTTCATAATATTATTATTATTGCAGTCAGGCGGCACTATTCAAAATAATAATTTGAGTTGAGCGAAACGCGGCGATTGCGCCGAACAAAGAACCGCAGCCGCAGTCGTCGTTTTTTAAATTTATGACTAAACGGAGCTTTTTTTTTATAAGGAGCTTAAAAAAATAATTTATATGTACACGTTTTAAAAATAATTTTTCCATAGGACAGTATATAGTATGCTGTACCATGCAAACCTCGGTGGTAAATATACAATGTGATTTACCAACCATCGCGCACATTAAAATACAAAATCCACGAATGCATTTGATAAAGTAAATAATATGTATGTAATTATATACAGAATAAATATATTTTATTATGATCCGCCGATTTTCTCAGATGATTTATGGACATTTTATATTTTGTTTTGTTTTATTTTAACCTTATTTTCTAATTTTTAGTTATGACGTCTAATAAAATGTAATTAAATGACGATTCGGTAAACACAGATTCGGAAAAATAATATTTTCATAAAAATGTTGATATATATAACACTATATAATATCGGGTACCTATATGGCTTTTTATCGGCTTTATATATGGCTTTATCGTTTACAAGTTATAACAGTTAAAATTTTGACCGGAAGAGTAGGGATGAGTAATAAACTTCATATCCATCCTTCGGTCTAAATTTTAAACCGTTGTTTGTTGGTTTGTTGTTATAGCTCACAAATTCAGTATTATTGTGATAATAAAGGTAAAAATTAAATACAATTTTCATTTTGAAGCTGGTTTAATAAGGGGGGTGGGGTTGTTTTTGAGGAATGACATCAAATAGATCCCAAATAAAACTATACATTTTTTTGCATTATTTTATGGGAGTAAGATTTCTAGTAGAAAATTTGTTTAAAAAAAAACACCATATAGTAAAATCAAAAGAAAAAGACCTTATATATTATGTGATTTGAGTAGTTTATTTTCTATTAGCCTATTTAGCCTATAATCCACACAAATATATAATGATAGAATTATTATATATTGTACTCAGTTTAAATGAATTACCTAGATCAAATTATTATACTGTGCTTTGGTTCATTCTATGCTTGAATACGGATCTGTATTATGGGGCCACATATAATTAATCATAGTTATCTCTTAGAGCACGTGCAGCGTAAGTTTTTGTGCTTTGCTGGACAGGTATTAAAAATTGAGCACTAGACACATGATTCTTCTCCAATTCTTTCTACTTTACAATTATTTTCGTTGGCTAATAGAAGAGTACAAGCTAATTCAACTTTTCTTTCTAATCTACTCTCAGGTAAAATTGACTCCTCAAATATTCTGTCTTGTATTCATTTCAAAATCCCTAATTTAGCCACACGTAATAACTATTCATTCTATATTTCTATCTACAACACAAACTATGATGCAAATAAGCCACTTGTAAAAATGATGAGGATGGCCAATACTGAACCGTCTCACTGTTCTAATTAATTTACTATATTATTATTTATATTTTCTGATCTTTTTGTGGTTCGTTATGTATTTTGTTGTTTCGTGTTTGTTATTATATTCTTTATGCAATATGTCAGCTATGTGTTTATATTATGTTTATTGTAATGTAACCATTAGGCTACCAGCCTGTACTTTAAATAAAATAAAAAATACAATTTTATTCGGTTATAAATTTGATGAACATCTCAAATATGAGAAAATACGAAATTTGGTTTAGTTTTATAGTTTTTACCCGGTTTTAGAATATTTTTCTTTTTAGATTTTGAGCAAATCAAGGAATATATTAGTTGTATTTTAATATGGTGTGAGGTGTTTGGTTTTTGGTTTTATTTATTCTTCCGTCCACTTACTGGTTTTTAATTTGAGGACTAGTTTCAATCGAGAATGTCATGGGAACTTTCTCGTAAAATATAATATGTTATACCTATCTAATATTATTAGATATCGTATTGGTGTACTTTGGTGAAGTAATTTTTTTTTAAATTTCTTGATTTTTTCCTTAAAATATTGGTGGAGAAATAAAATATATATATTTTTTCAATATTATAATTAGCTGTATTTAAAATGGGTAATGAATACAATTTGAAGAAAATCGTCGTGTAGCACCCGCCTTACAAAACGTTGTCGGTTACAGTTATCCTAACAATATAAAATGTACTAATTTAAAAAATATTAAAAATCGAATATGTCAGAACATCGTGGTTGTCTGTAAAGCTCGTAGGTAGGTATGTTAAAAAAAAAAAAAACAAAAAAACTATTCGCGTAAATTAATTTTAATTAATTCGAGTAGATACGCAATTTACGTTTTATGTCTGCAAAATGAAATATTTTAAACTATATAGTTTTCTCATGTAATATAGATATATACCTAATCCCTTGACAAAACTGAAAACACACGAAGCTCGGACACAAACAATGTCATTCTGTGCCGTTGATAAAACTTTACTATTCGGTGGGTCATATATTCTACAAAATAACAGAGAAATAAGTTTTAAGTCGCAGTTTAATTTCAAATCACCACAAAATAAATAGGAAAAATGTATAACACGCGTATGAAAATACATTATTGTTGCATTAGCTGTATGTACTACTAGGAAATGTCAGCAAAAAAATATATTATCCTTTTTATTATGTTTTGGTGTCAAAGTTGTGTAAAAAAAAAACTGTAATTTGGGTAGGTACTATTATTTATAATAACAATCGTGTTCAGTACCTAATGTAAGTATTAATAGCAGGGCATATTCCAAGGCCTAGGTAGGCTACTGTTGTAGATAGAATAATTGAAAGGTATTGGATATAGGGAAATGTATAATTTATATATTTTAACTGAATTTAACAAAAACTATTGTAA